AATTATCGGAGGAAAAAGTGTTATGCCTCGTTGATCTCGTATTAAAATTTCCAATCTAACTGCATTCCCAGTTAAAAATTTTAGTTTTTATCATTTTTTTGCAAAAAATCATGATGTAACCCCTTTCCGAAATTCCAAAATTCGATAATACTAAATTTTTGTCATAAGAAAGTCATTTTTTTTGCATAACTTTCCCAAAAATTATCGGAGGAAAAAGTGTTATGCCTCGTTGATCTCGTATTAAAATTTCCAATCTAACTGCATTCCCAGTTAAAAATTTTAGTTTTTATCATTTTTTTGCCAAAAATCATGATGTAACCCCTTTCCGAAATTCCAAAATTCGATAATACTAAATTTTTGTCATAAGAAAGTCATTTTTTTTGCATAACTTTCCCAAAAATTATCGGAGGAAAAAGTGTTATGCCTCGTTGATCTCGTATTAAAATTTCCAATCTAACTGCATTCCCAGTTAAAAATTTTAGTTTTTATCATTTTTTTGCCAAAAATCATGATGTAACCCCTTTCCGAAATTCCAAAATTCGATAATACTAAATTTTTGTCATAAGAAAGTCATTTTTTTTGCATAACTTTCCCAAAAATTATCGGAGGAAAAAGTGTGATGCCTCGTTGATCTCGTATTAAAATTTCCAATCTAACTGCATTCCCAGTTAAAAATTTTAGTTTTTATCAATTTTTTGCAAAAAATCATGATGTAACCCCTTTCCGAAATTCCAAAATTCGATAATACTAAATTTTTGTCATAAGAAAGTCATTTTTTTTGCATAACTTTCCCAAAAATTATCGGAGGAAAAAGTGTTATGCCTCGTTGATCTTGTATTAAAATTTCCAATCTAACTGCATTCCCAGTTCAAAATTTTAGTTTTTATAATTTTTTTGCAAAAAATCATGATGTAACCCCTTTCCGAAATTCCAAAATTCGATAATACTAAATTTTTGTCATAAGAAAGTCATTTTTTTTGCATAACTTTCCCAAAAATTATCGGAGGAAAAAGTGTTATGCCTCGTTGATCTCGTATTAAAATTTCCAATCTAACTGCATTCCCAGTTCAAAATTTTAGTTTTTATCATTTTTTTGCCAAAAATCATGATGTAACCCCTTTCCGAAATTCCAAAATTCGATAATACTAAATTTTTGTCATAAAAAAGTAATTTTTTTTGCATAACTTTCCCAAAAATTATCGGAGGAAAAAGTGTTATGCCTCGTTGATCTCGTATTAAAATTTTTAATCTAACTGCATTCCCAGTTAAAAATTTTAGTTTTTATCATTTTTTTGCAAAAAATCATGATGTAACCCCTTCCGAAATTCCAAAATTCGATAATACTAAATTTTTGTCATAAGAAAGTCATTTTTTTTGCATAACTTTCCCAAAAATTATCGGAGGAAAAAGTGTTATGCCTCGTTGATCTCGTATTAAAATTTCCAATCTAACTGCATTCCCAGTTAAAAATTTTAGTTTTTATAATTTTTTTGCAAAAAATCATGATGTAACCCCTTTCCGAAATTCCAAAATTCGATAATACTAAATTTTTGTCATAATAAAGTCATTTTTTTTGCATAACTTTCCCAAAAATTATCGGAGGAAAAAGTGTGATGCCTCGTTGATCTCGTATTAAAATTTCCAATCTAACTGCATTCCCAGTTAAAAATTTTAGTTTTTATCAATTTTTTGAAAAAAATCATGATGTAACCCCTTTCCGAAATTCCAAAATTCGATAATACTAAATTTTTGTCATAAGAAAGTCATTTTTTTTGCATAACTTTCCCAAAAATTATCGGAGGAAAAAGTGTTATGCCTCGTTGATCTCGTATTAAAATTTCCAATCTAACTGCATTCCCAGTTAAAAATTTTAGTTTTTATCAATTTTTTGCAAAAAATCATGATGTAACCCCTTTCCGAAATTCCAAAATTCGATAATACTAAATTTTTGTCATAAGAAAGTCATTTTTTTTGCATAACTTTCCCAAAAATTATCGGAGGAAAAAGTGTTATGCCTCGTTGATCTCGTATTAAAATTTCCAATCTAACTGCATTCCCAGTTAAAAATTTTAGTTTTTATCATTTTTTTGCCAAAAATCATGATGTAACCCCTTTCCGAAATTCCAAAATTCGATAATACTAAATTTTTGTCATAAGAAAGTCATTTTTTTTGCATAACTTTCCCAAAAATTATCGGAGGAAAAAGTGTTATGCCTCGTTGATCTCGTATTAAAATTTCCAATCTAACTGCATTCCCAGTTAAAAATTTTAGTTTTTATCATTTTTTTGCCAAAAAATCATGATGTAACCCCTTTCCGAAATTCCAAAATTCGATAATACTAAATTTTTGTCATAAGAAAGTCATTTTTTTTGCATAACTTTCCCAAAAATTATCGGAGGAAAAAGTGTGATGCGTCGTTGATCTCGTATTAAAATTTCCAATCTAACTGCATTCCCAGTTAAAAATTTTAGTTTTTATCAATTTTTTGAAAAAAATCATGATGTAACCCCTTTCCGAAATTCCAAAATTCGATAATACTAAATTTTTGTCATAAGAAAGTCATTTTTTTTGCATAACTTTCCCAAAAATTATCGGAGGAAAAAGTGTTATGCCTCGTTGATCTCGTATTAAAATTTCCAATCTAACTGCATTCCCAGTTAAAAATTTTAGTTTTTATCATTTTTTTGCCAAAAATCATGATGTAACCCCTTTCCGAAATTCCAAAATTCGATAATACTAAATTTTTGTCATAAGAAAGTCATTTTTTTTGCATAACTTTCCCAAAAATTATCGGAGGAAAAAGTGTTATGCCTCGTTGATCTCGTATTAAAATTTCCAATCTAACTGCATTCCCAGTTAAAAATTTTAGTTTTTATCATTTTTTTGCCAAAAAATCATGATGTAACCCCTTTCCGAAATTCCAAAATTCGATAATACTAAATTTTTGTCATAAGAAAGTCATTTTTTTTGCATAACTTTCCCAAAAATTATCGGAGGAAAAAGTGTTATACCTCGTTGATCTCGTATTAAAATTTCCAATCTAACTGCATTCCCAGTTAAAAATTTTAGTTTTTATCATTTTTTTGCCAAAAATCATGATGTAACCCCTTTCCGAAATTCCAAAATTCGATAATACTAAATTTTTGTCATAAGAAAGTCATTTTTTTTGCATAACTTTCCCAAAAATTATCGGAGGAAAAAGTGTTATGCCTCGTTGATCTCGTATTAAAATTTCCAATCTAACTGCATTCCCAGTTAAAAATTTTAGTTTTTATCATTTTTTTGCCAAAAAATCATGATGTAACCCCTTTCCGAAATTCCAAAATTCGATAATACTAAATTTTTGTCATAAGAAAGTCATTTTTTTTGCATAACTTTCCCAAAAATTATCGGAGGAAAAAGTGTTATACCTCGTTGATCTCGTATTAAAATTTCCAATCTAACTGCATTCCCAGTTAAAAATTTTAGTTTTTATCATTTTTTTGCCAAAAATCATGATGTAACCCCTTTCCGAAATTCCAAAATTCGATAATACTAAATTTTTGTCATAAGAAAGTCATTTTTTTTGCATAACTTTCCCAAAAATTATCGGAGGAAAAAGTGTTATGCCTCGTTGATCTCGTATTAAAATTTCCAATCTAACTGCATTCCCAGTTCAAAATTTTAGTTTTTATAATTTTTTTGCAAAAAATCATGATGTAAACCCCTTTCCGAAATTCCAAAATTCGATAATACTAAATTTTTGTCATAAGAAAGTCATTTTTTTTGCATAACTTTCCCAAAAATTATCGGAGGAAAAAGTGTTATGCCTCGTTGATCTCGTATTAAAATTTCCAATCTAACTGCATTCCCAGTTCAAAATTTTAGTTTTTATCATTTTTTTGCAAAAAATCATGATGTAACCCCTTTCCGAAATTCCAAAATTCGATAATACTAAATTTTTGTCATAAGAAAGTCATTTTTTTGCATAACTTTCCCAAAAATTATCGGAGGAAAAAGTGTTATGCCTCGTTGATCTCGTAATAAAATTTCCAATCTAACTGCATTCCCAGTTAAAAATTTTAGTTTTTATCAATTTTTTGCAAAAAATCATGATGTAACCCCTTTCCGAAATTCCAAAATTCGATAATACTAAATTTTTGTCATAAGAAAGTCATTTTTTTTGCATAACTTTCCCAAAAATTGTCGGAGGCAAAAGTGTTATGCCTCGTTGATCTCGTAATAAAATTTCCAATCTAACTGCATTTCCAGTTCAAAATTTTAGTTTTTATAATTTTTTTGCAAAAAATCATGATGTAACCCCTTTCCGAAATTCCAAAATTCGATAATACTAAATTTTTGTCATAAGAAAGTCATTTTTTTTGCATAACTTTCCCAAAAATTATCGGAGGAAAAAGTGTTATGCCTCGTTGATCTCGTATTAAAATTTCCAATCTAACTGCATTCCCAGCTCAAAATTTTAGTTTTTATCATTTTTTTGCAAAAAATCATGATGTAACCCCTTTCCGAAATTCCAAAATTCGATAATACTAAATTTTTGTCATAAGAAAGTCATTTTTTTTGCATAACTTTCCCAAAAATTATCGGAGGAAAAAGTGTTATGCCTCGTTGATCTCGTAATAAAATTTCCAATCTAACTGCATTCCCAGTTAAAAATTTTAGTTTTTATCAATTTTTTGCAAAAAATCATGATGTAACCCCTTTCCGAAATTCCAAAATTCGATAATACTAAATTTTTGTCATAAGAAAGTCATTTTTTTTGCATAACTTTCCCAAAAATTATCGGAGGAAAAAGTGTTATGCCTCGTTGATATCGTAATAAAATTTCCAATCTAACTGCATTCCAACTTAAATATTAATGTTAAATTACAAAAAAATATTCCGTCTGTTTATTTTTCTCTATGTTTAATTACTAACGATATATTATATTATCTGGAAAATAAGATATCACGATAATAATATATAAGCATTGCAAGCATCAGCTCTACAAATTTCTTCGTCAATGTGTTTCTGACTTTCCGTCTGACTTAGAAAATATAAAAAATTCCGTTCATACAAAATTTTGCTTGCATGTTGCATTGAATCCACCGATGGAATATGTGCCACCGCATCAAGCAGGACTACAGTGGCAACAGCTACCTGGGCCTCCACTTGGGCACCCAACTCTTCCGCGCCCTGATCCTCGACTCCAAACTGAACGTTACCTATGTGGCACAGATCCGCTATGACGTTGATCTCCCAGAGTACAAGACAACGAATGGAATTCTAACAGATGGCGGTCCTGGCGAGTTCCTGGCCAATCCGGTGATGTGGGTAAAGGCACTGGACATGCTGATGGACTGTCTGGTGAAGCAGGGAGCGGATATGCACTCGGTGGTCTCGATTGCCGGAGCGGCTCAGCAGCATGGCTGCGTCTTCTGGTCGGACTTGGGCCTGCGGCGTTTGTGCAACTTGAATATCAACCTGCGGCTGCACGAGCAGATCACGGAGAGCGCCTTCGAACTGACCAGGACGCCCACTTGGATGGATAGCTCAACGGACGTGCAGGTACGCGAAATGGAGCACACCGTCGGGGGTCCCGCTGAACTGTCGAAAATAACGGGCTCCAGGGCGTATACGAGATTCACGGGTCCCCAGATACGGAAAGTGTATACCCAATGCCCGGAGCAGTACAAGAGAACCTCAAGGATTTCGCTGATCAGCAGCTTTTTGGCATCCCTCCTTATCGGAGGCATTGCCTCCATAGACTACACCGATGGCTCAGGAATGAATCTGCTCGACATCCGGAAAAAGAATTGGTCTCCGGCCTGCCTAGACGCCTGTGCTCCCGACCTTGCCCGGCGCTTGATGAAGCCCATTCCCTCGTCCCGGCTGCAAGGACGCGTCGCGGACTACTACGTGAAGCGCTGGAACTTCAGGCCGGACTGCATGGTGGTGGCTTCCGCCGGGAGCAAAGCCTCGGAGCTGGCAGGGCTTCTGGTGGAGAATGACTTCCTCATGATATCTCTGGATACCAGTGATGTGGTGGTGATGCCCCTGAAGAAAGCTCCGCGACTGGAGGACGGACATGTGTTGTGCCATCCGACAAGAAGGAACGAGTACATGGGTCTCCTGTGCTTCCAAAACGGAGAATTGACACGAAAAGCCATCTGTGAGGATGTGGCGGGCGGCAGTTGGCGGCACTTCTACGAAATGCTTGATGCCACGCCGCCGGGCAACAATGGCAATGTGGCTGTGCACTTCCGGGACCGCGAGATTATACCCATTGCCCAGGGCACTCTACGCTGGGATGCGCACATAAACCCGATGGCGGCGGAGAGCCTACGCGGCCGACACCGCTTCTCCACACCGGAGATTGAGGTTCGGGCTCTAATCGAGGGTCAGATCATGCACCACTGGGCCATTGCCCACGAGATGGGCTTTCACCACACGCCGGACACAAAGATCATCGTGGTGGGAGAGGACTCCCGGTGCCAAAGTGTCCTGCAGATAGTGGCGGACATCTTCAATGCTCCTGTTTACCAGCGCACCGGTGTCGAGGTCAGCCTTTTGGGATGCGCCTTTCGTGCCCGGTACGCCTTTTACGAGCACCGGGAGTCCTCCTGCAACTGCCAGTCCTGCAGGATGCCCAGTAGACGTAGGAAGCGCCTTAGCTACGACGAGTTCTTCAGGAACGTGCCTTCCGGCCTAAAACTGGCTGCGGAGCCAAGACCGGGCTGCGATAAGATCTACACGCCCCTGATCGCACGATGCTCCCAAATTTGCCAGCTGCTGGCAGCCAAGTCCAGCGTGTATTTTTTCCGCCCAAATTGATACGTTTCCATGAGATGGTTTCCTTGTTCCTTTCTACGTTGCTACGAAAATCAGTAAAGTAACCTACATTTAACTAAAGAGTGATCAAATACTAAGTCGAGGGTTCGCGGCATGGGCCTAGAAATCCGCATCCCAGCCGGAGAGCTCGTCCGGCGGCTCATTCAAATCGCACGGAAAGCGGTCGAAGTAGCGCACATCCGTCGGATGGGCGATGGGTCTCACGAAGGGCGGAATCAGCAGCTGGCTGGCCAAGCCGTCCCAGTCGAATCCCAGGAACCACCTAGGGTTTGAACACATCATCAATAGCTATCTACCAACTTTGTTTCCAAGCTGTTTTCAAGCTTTTTTTCGGGTACTCACTTGTGCTTTTTGATGTCCTGGATGCCACCAGTCTGGTAGCCGAGGCGCTCCGACGGAACATCGCGGCATAGCCGCTTGATGAGCTGCACAGCCCAGCGGGAGATGTGTTTGGGAAAGGCTATCATGTCGATGCCCTTCAGGATGAGGTTGTACGTCTGCATGGGATCTGGAGCACTGAACGGCGGCCTGCAAGCGAAAGATAACCATTATTGGGGGAGTTTAAGGAATCAAATGGTGGTATCCTGGACGTACGTTCCGTTGAGTAGTTCATGAATGAGAATGCCCAAAGCCCAGTAGTCCACGGCTCGGTCGTGGCCCTTGTTCAAGATGATCTCGGGTGCCACGTACTCCGGGGTGCCGCAGAAGGTCCACGTCTTGGTGCTCGTGCCGATCTGCTTGGCGAAGCCGAAGTCCACGATCTTGACGTAGCCGCGCTCATCCAGCATCAAGTTCTCGGGCTTAAGGTCTCTATAGATGATGCCGCGGGCATGCAGGTACTCATACGCCTGCAGCACACACCCGATGATGAACTGCGCCGCCTCGTCCTCGAAGGATCCGCGATCCCGGAGCATCGTCCATATCTCACCACCCATGCAGGCCTCGAGCAGCATGTAGACGTACTTCTCGTCCCGGAAAGTGCGATACAAACGGCAGATGAAGGGCGACCTCGAGCTGAGCATGATGTGGCGTTCGCTGAAGATGTGCTCCTCCTGCTTGGTGTCCACAATGTGTCGCTTCTTGAGGCACTTCAGGGCGAAGATATCCACGCGATCCTGATGGTGCGCTTTGACCAGCTCCACTCGACCGAAGCCCCCGATGCCAAGAGTGCTGACCACCTCGAGGTCCGTGAGCTTGAGGTCGGGGAACTCCTGCTGCAGCTGCTCCTTCGGCTCATCCCGGCAGCTTTCCCGCGCGTGCTTCATGGCCAGCATCCTACTCTCGTCGCCGTAGTCCTTCTCCTTCAGCTCGCAGAGATCCCCAATCAGCCGCTTGAAGGAATCCCTGTCCAGGGTCAAGCACTCGACTCCTGGTGACAGAGCGATGATGTTGGCCGTTCGCTTATCCTCGTTAATCAGCGCCTGCTCTCCGAAGTAGTCTCCTCTGGAGAGCGTGCGCAGCTCCGTCTCCTCCGGGGAGGTGGGTGTTAGTTTTTGGGTCACTCGGACATTGCCCTGTGAGATCAGGAAGAAACTGTCCCCTGCGGTTCCCTGGCGGATGATGTAGGTGCCAGCGGCGTAGAACTCCAGCTCCAGAACGTCTGCTATCTTGGCCAGCAGCTCCTCACTCAGGTTCATCAGCAGAGGCACCGACCTCAGGAAGTTCACGCTGTTTTCGATTCGCTGGAGACCCGTGCACATCATAATCTGCTGAAAGACCCGTCTGTCCAGCACCCATACCCTCGCGGCCTCGCTGAGAACTCGAATGGAGGCCGTCCTGGTGCAGTTGTAGAGGATAGCCAGCTCCCCGAACGCCTTTCCCGCCCCCATCTTGTCCAGCACCTTGCCCTGCTGCATCACCGCAAACTCCCCGGCGGCGGAGACGTACAGATGTGCACCCACTTCACCCTCGCGGATCACAAACTCCCCGGCTGCTATGCTCTTCGAGTACATTGAATCCACCAGCTCCCGCACCTGCGAGGCGTCTATATTCTTCAGGAAGTCATTGTCCATGATGGCGTCTTTGATTTGCTGCTTATCACTGGGAAAGACCAAGGTAATGGGGTTGCAAATGGCTTGAAAATGAGAGCTCATATCCAGACGCACCTGAAATCCTTGTCGTATTTTGGAATAGGAATGCTGTAGGACTGCTGCATGGACTGCACACAGCTCTCGGCGGAGACACCTTGTTTCTTGATGGCAGCGGGCATGGCCTTGGGTCGCACCTCTTCCGCAGATGTCGATCCGGACGGGGAGGCGGTAGATGCTGATGTTGAGGGGGTCAGCGGTCCCAGCGAAAGCGCCTCCAGGGCGAACTCCGGACTGGTGGGCAGCACCATGCCGCAGGAGCTGCACAAATGCGGGTTCCGTTCCTTGTCCTCCTGCTCGCTACATTGCTCTGGTAGGGAGTAAAGCTTCGTTTTGGCCTTCTCATTCCGGGTGACGTTCAGGTTGTTGGTGGTCTGCTGCAGCACACTCTATAAAAACAAAGATGTGTGTGGCAACAATTGAGATGCGTCTGTTAATCAATCCCCCGGCCATTGGGAGGCAATCAATCGATGGAGGCGCGTGATTCCCTCGTCACCCGAGACCAACTCAATTAGGTGACCCACTGCGGATGGCATTCACGTGCTTTCCCGATGACAAAGTCTGGGTTGGCGTACACAGCGAGGTTTTTCTTGATTTAAACTTGAGGGAACGAATATATTTGAATAGATATTGTAATATTTTTAATATAGCTATTTGCTGATGAGCACTTGAACTTATTATATGTAGCACTAAAAATGTTTAGTTGCTGATTTCACGCGCTTTTTTGGCCAGTGCACGCCAATTGGGTGCGTTCTTGGACTCCCTTATCACAATCCGTAAATAGAATGCTAAATTTTCCCGTTGGCGGTGTGACCCAAAAATGGCATAGATAAAGCCGTACCCAAAAGGCAAATCCAAATCCATGGCCCTCCCCAGAAATCGGACCTAGTCATGGAGTTCAGTTTCGGTTCCATTGCCAGCTCAGAGGGTAAACATGATAAGCCGAATGTCAGGGCGAGGTGTTACCACCCACCCACCCGCTCCAGTCCCTGGTCGCCAAGCACCTTTTGCTTGTTTTCCAAATTATTTGCATAGAAATTAGCATTTCAAAAACACTCTTTCGCGGGTTCAGCTCGTATTTCCTTTTTTCTCGCTCGCCGCTTTTTGTGTCGGCTTCGGTTCCCAACCGATTCTGATTCTGCTTTTTCAAGATGCGCGTGCTGCCTCGGTCGGAACTATATTATCTATCTTTGTATCTTTGTATCTGTAATCTGGAGACCTGAGATCTGGGGAAGCAGAGGCGCGGTGGCCGTATCATCTGGCAATTAGCGACGCTCCCTCGTGAGGCATTTGAATTAAGTGCCGAAGAGAAGAATTACATCCCGGTAAAAGTGAGTCAGGCAACTTGACCGATCCAACATTTCTGGAACTTATTGAAGACATAGGAAGCCCACTTCAATTTGTATACCTTCCCATAGCCATGAGAACCTATAAAGGCCTCTCCAAATTATCTTATATTAGCAATTTCGCAGTCTCAGCTCTCCGACTTTACAGCCCCAATTAGTGAGATAATGGAAATTAAATGATTTTCGGCTTCCAGATTATTTGAGAAGCTGCTACCAAGTATCTCGCAGTCGCAAGTCTCGCATTTTCACTCCGCTCTTTGGGCTATAAAACTGTGCACGACGATGAGATCTCGCCAAGAAGTGCTAATCACTTGGCTCAATAAATCTGCCTCACAGTTTAAATATGTGTGGATGGCGGGGATGGGGCATTAGATAGATACGAGTATCTAGCAGATACGCCGGCAAGGGCATGGGTTAGCCCCCGTTCTCGCCGCCTCCACTCCTCCGCCGCTGCGGTTCAGTGGGGTAGGCATGGGCATGGTATATGGGCTATGGGGTGTATGGGGTGTATCTGATATCTGGGCAGAGTCTGCTGCTGTTGCCCAGATAACGAGGTGATAGAGATAGAGGATAGAGGAGGGGTCTGCCTGTCGGCGTGCGTATTTGCAGATACTTTGTATCTCTGCGATACACAAAGCGAATTCGAATTCAGTCCGAAAAATAGTGCGGTCTGTGTGGCTCCTGCTTATCTGCCAGAGGCAGCAAACAAAAAGCGAGCAAACAAAGCGATGCAATAGACAGCGATGGATGGATGGCTTTTCCCGAGGTACCCTCACCTGGCTGGGTGACCCAACCCACCCACCCCCTCACCTTCAGCTTGTGGATTTCCCGGTGCAGCTTGACCAGCTCGCTCTCCCGACTCCGCACCATTTCCCGCAGAGCCTGCACGTCCTTGGTCAGATTGCTGACGATCGCCTCCCGCTCCCGATCAGTAAACATTCCAGCGGCCATTTCGGTCTGCTGCCTTGTCCGTATCCGTGGTCCGGGTCAAAGGTGACTTCTTCTGCTTCGAGATCTGCGCTGTTCGGTTCCTCAACCAGGGTTATTCCATTCAGGCGGAGGTGCTCCTCCGCTGCGGTTCGCTGGCGGTTTGCTTGCGCGCGCGATTCGTTGGCGACTGCCATCAGGCGACGATCGACACGGCGTATACGTGATTTCTCGAAGAGCGAACCAGATAAAGCAAAAGAGCGCCCTTAAGAGCATTCTCGGCTTATCAGCAGAGCAAGCCAGAGCCGAAGAGCGCACAAAGGCAACTGCGCTCACAAGCCCAACAAAAAGGCAATTTTCGTTAATTTGTATTAATAATAATTCTGTAAGCCCAGTAACACAATTCATTCACGGACTACAATGATGAACTTGGTTACATTCAGGCTTCATTTCTGTAATCCATGTGTAGTATAAAGTAAACAAAATAATTCTCAAATATTTAGCAGGGCAAGCCCTTGATAGCCCTTTAAGGAAATTTAATTTGGCTCTTCTGCTGCCCCGAAAACAAAACCCAGCCACAAAAGCCAGGCGGAATTTGATGATGACAGCCAACGCGACATCCACAGGAGGACACCAGGGGCTCCGATGATGGGTCAAGAGGGGTCAGAAGGGGTCATAAAGGGGTTGGGGGACTCAGATGGCTGTTTTAGAGGGGTCAGCGGATGGCAGGACAAGGGCAAATGCGAAGCGAGTCCTACGGCGTCACAGAGCGTTTAAATGGAAACGAAAATGCGAAATGGCAGACTGGAAATATGAAAACGAAAGCTGAAAGTTCTGGAAATAAGGAAAAGGAATGTAGTTACCAAAAGGTGGGCCACACACAAGAGAGCGATCCACGTTTGGACAAAGACTACTTCTAGTTATTTTAGAGGTTTCATATTTACACATTTATATTTTTTTCAAAACAGCTTCCTTAATATTTTCTCCTGTCCTTAAAGCTTTAAAGGGCGTAAAGTGCATATGCTGTTACCATCAGCAGAGTCCTTGATAAAGTGAATTGGACAATTTATTGGTGTAATCTCACTCTTGATTGCTTACTTTAAGTACCAAACTGGAAATTTAAATTTATGTGCACTCGTTGCTGCCCCATTTGTCATTGCAAAAGTTCCAAATGAGGGGAGCGTCTTAAAGTAAGTGTTCAATGCTGAATGCGAAAGTTCCAGCCAGAGCAGTTTTGCGTAGTTTTTCCTTGATGACTGGCGTCGAGCATAAACAATGTGAAATAAAATTGCGTTACAGCCATAATAGAATTATAGTGGTCCACTGCAGAGCACGGCTTTAAAGCGAAAAGCTGGGGATATACTTGTATTCCTGGGTGTTTTTCGGTGTCTGCTAAATACAAGCGAAAAATAAAACGCAAACGAGCGGGAATTTCGCTGGTGGCGTCGCTGGCTCCAGTGGCTTCGGTGGCTTCGTTGGCATCGGCGGCTTCCGTTGGCGGTGGCCCACATTTAATGGAGACTCGCATTTCGCCGCAGACAGTGATATATCTGGATGTGCAAAAAGCGGGGAAAATTCAACGTGGAGAACGATGTGCGGGCGACGTGACAACTGGCGGGCAGGACGCCTCCATCCTCCGCCCTCCACCCACCATCCTCCAAAGCAACGAAAGCGAGACGCCGAGCAGAAGGATTAGCTGGGCTACAAAGGAAACGGCAGCGGGGCTCACACGGCGTATGCGCAATGATGCAGCAAATGATCTATTAAAGCATTGCCGCCAGTGGAGCCAAGATAAATTACCTGCGAGGCGAGCAGGCGGAGGACGACTCTGGATGAGCCGGTGAACTGCTCAAAACTTTGACATGCTGCGGTAATTATCTGCAGGGGCAGAGGCTACCCCTAGCATTGACCCCACCAGGAGCAGCCACAGGGCATTCCAGGCGCCCAAAGAGCAGAAGCCATGGAGCACAGAAAACCGGGCCAGCAACTTAGCGCCAATCCTGCAGAGCCAGCTAATTAATGGACGCTAATTTCTGATGGCACAGGAAAGGAAAGTGGGCGGGGATGAGCTGGGGATTCCCCACGGAGACGGGGCGGGCTTATCATAAAAGTTTGTCGCGCATTAAAAACAGAAACTGAGCTCGGGAACAACAGTTTTAAAACACAGATTAACAGCCAAACAACTTAGCTATTTTCAGTGATTTTCACTGCAAGCTCAAAACGTTTTGCGAGGAAACTTCCACTTAACTTGAGATGCAGCTATGGATTTGATGCAGCTACCTATTGCAATTTGTAGTCACATTTACATTACAGTTCGCAGGACGTTGTAAATCAGGATTATCCGATCAGGCGAAGTGAAAGGGCGTGGCAATCTGGAGGCTTGTGAATTTGCAGCCTGCCAATATTTGCATAATAGATATCGCATGTCACACATTTCACTGCGGTGATTACGGCTGCCGAGGGCCACAAGTCGCACGGGCTTTGCATTCCTCCGGCTGCCTGTCTGTCTGTCAAAAAGAAAATCCGGAACTGAAGGGAAAACAATGGAAAACAGGGCAAGACAAAGCCAAAACAAATGCGATTGGCGCGCACATAAAAGGCGGAGGACAAATCAAGTGGCAATCTGCGGTTATGAGCGGGTTCACCATAAACATTTCAGCGAAACCCCTCATATGCATGCAGATCGTATGTAAATGGGGGCTTAGGCTGGCTTTTCCTGGGAAAACCATCAACGTGTCAACACAGGAGGCGGGCAAACATATCAACGAATGCGGCTGGAGGTGACAATACTCGCAGAAGGGAAGAGATGAACAATGGCCCACTTTCTGCATTACTTCATACCATTTGTCCGACGAATCCAACGTAATCCGAGTGGCCCAGCGTTTCCATTCCGCTGCCCGTGATTTGCTGCGAGGACACACGTCCCCGGAAAGTGACTCCCCAGGGAGCGGCGGCATATCTTATTGCCTTATCAACACAACATAACATTTCGTTCGTGCAGTTATTCAATTAAAATCGGCTGCCGAGGAGCGAGGCCAAAGTGCACGCCGGGGATTAATTCGAGGCACTCCGGACCAGGTGGATCCTTGTAACGGCTCCCCAATCCTCCGGCTGACCCCATCCCCGCCAGCAGCCGTTATCACTGGCTTCGACCCAGGCCCTGACCCGGCAACTCCACCGCCCATTCAGCCCATTCATCCTGGCCTTTTGTTGTTCTCCGCTCGTATTCGCATTCGTATCTCAGTTATTGCCTTTGCAATACCCTCTAATCCGAGCAGCGTGAAGTGTTTTCGACTGGAAGAAGCGCAGAGAAAACTTTGAAGTTTAGCAGGTTTCCCGAGGTTTCCATCTCGCCATCCCAATGTATCAATGTTTCTGATCCAGCGTGAGGTAACACACCTGTCGGTATCTCCGGCTGGAGTTATCTTTTCAGGGCTTCGTCCGTTTTTTGTCTGCCCCATCCCGTCCAGATAAATGTAACATGTTTGTTTCGGCACAAAAAACCACTGGAATAAACCATCAGCAGACAATGCATCATGTGCCGAATGATTCCTGGGCAGCGTCTCCATGTGGCGGCTAATTTGGAGATTTCCTCGGAGTGCACATATCGAGTTGTTCCGGGGATTACATACCTGTCACACATCGGAAGGCAAAGAGTTGGAAAATTAATGGAAACTTCTATTACTTGAGCCGAGGACAGCAAAAACTTTTTCACTTTGTCCAGTTTTTCGGTCGCATAATAAAAAGCCCTCCAAGAAAATGGTTTTTAGGATGCAATCTTGCTCAAGCACGCCTCCTTCACTTCGCCACCCGCACGCTCATCCACTTCCCATCTTTTTATGCATAGTTGGCGTGCTTCTTGGCCTTTTCTTCACGTCCGCAAGGAGAAGGAAATTTGTTGCAGATAAATTTGGATTTTCCGAATGGGTTTCAGTTCCGCTGGCGGGAACGGAACACCGAGAAGAATCAGTTCTAGAAATGTCCAAATGCATGGAACACTTTTAGTCAGTCTTCTTAGACTGCGAGTTGAATTAATTCCATTGCAGATTTCGCCCGATTTCTGCCAGTGCACGGGGCCAGCTCGAGATGCTGATGGCTGGCTGGTGCGTGTTTCTGAAGTTTTGCAAATTGCCCGCACACACACTCGCCAGTTGGCCGGTGGACAATGATAGATTAGCCACCCCATTCCTCACACTTTCGGCCTTTTTCGAGGCTTGGCCTTTTCGTGTGCGCTCGAGAAAACTTCAATTGGCAGTGCCAACATTTCTTACAACAAAATTAAACTGTAATTGAAAAAGTCAATTAAAAAGTTTCGCATTTGCTTCTCAATGAGCGCAGTCAGACATCCTGCCACGCCCCGTCGCATCCCACAAAGTAATGTTTGCTGCACAGCTTGCCGCCCGGGGGTATGCAACGAAAAAGGATGAAAAGCCATGGAGAAAGCGAAAACTTTCTCCTCTGCCTCTGCCTCCGCATCCGCATCCACATCCGCCCGCTGCACCACCCAATCCCACACTTGATCCCTGCGGACTTATGAATAGAGTCTTCCGTTGGATTGCAAAGTGTCAATTAGCGTGAAGTTCCCTAAGCCCAGTAATTGCGCACAATTAGGGATGCACGGCTTTCGGCAAATACCCAATGGCGAAACTGTCATTAATTCCCATCCGTAAACATCTGCCAGCACGTAGGGCGTAATCATAACTTGAAGAAAACACCTCCTTCAGTTGAGTTATCACAAACCTCTCTAAAGAGTGGCTGTGTTATCAGCAGGAACACTCGGTTTGCCGAAGGAAACACACTTCAATGGCTGTATTTTTAATTGATTTATGAGATCTACGGGCTTTGGCAGCATGAAATCTTTTTGAAAAACACGCCTCTGTATTTTTAAGCACAAAATTCCTTTGTGCTTATAGAGAGAAATCGACTATCGCACGTACAGCAAAACACTAGAGCCACTTTGTAATTTCGGAAAAGAAGTAGAATAGATGGGAGTAGATTTCCCCACAGAATCTGGCAATCGAAACAGAAAATGTTAATTGAGTGAAAGTGAAATATTGGCACTGCCAATCAAAGTTTATGCTCAAAAATTCAAATAAAATGGAACACTGTCTGAATATTTTGACAGACACAAAAGATGCGGTTGCAGATTAGTTTATTCAACACTCGAAATTCATAACGAAATTCGTCGAATTGGAC